ATATATATATATATATATATATATATATTATGCATGCATGCAGTTGAGCTATATTTATATTTATATTTGTTTGTTTGTTTGTCTTTGAATATATTTTAATTGTTTATATGAATTTGTCTCTGTCTCTTGCGGTGTATCTATACACAACAACTGTATATTATATATATATATATAATTATTTAATTGTTTATTTGTTGTTTATAATTAATGCGTCTTTATATTATTTATTTGTGTTTGTTTTATCCCTTTGTTTATTTTCTTTTGTTGCTTCTTCATTTTATTTATTTTTTTTTGTCTTTGTTTGTTGAGGCAGCGCAGGATCTCTGCCTTTGTTTATTTTATTTGTTATGTCTGCCTTTGTTTATTTTATTTGTTATGTCTGCCTTTGTTTATTTTATTTGTTATGTCTGCCTTTGTTTATTTAATTTGTTTTATCTGTCTTTGTTTGTTTTATTTGTTTTATTTTTGTTTATTTACTTTGCTGTTTCTGTCTCCGTTTATTTTGTTTTGTTTTATTTGTTTTGTTTATTTACTTTGTTTGTTTCTTTCGTCTTTGTTTATTTTGTTTGTTTATTAATTCTTTGTCTCTATGCCACATTAAAGTAATACCTTTCATTTGTCTCCTTTGTTTATTATTTGTTTATCTGTCTCCTTTGTTTATTATTTGTTTATCTGTCTCCTTTGTTATTTCTCTTTACTCTAAATAGACTGCAAGTAAAATAAAACAAACGATTTAAATCCTCAGCCATCCTCTCCAATGTCTCTGCATGCATGCATGCATGCATGCATGCATGCATGCATGCATGCATGCAGCCATTAATAAGTGCATGCATGCATATATGCATGCAGCCCCAAATGTACGCATGCATGCATGCATGCATGCATGCATGCAGCCATAAATAAGAATGCTGCAGTAAACCCTTTTAATTTATAACGAAGAACAGACGAAAACAGAGACAATAAAAGAAGTAAAAGGAGACCCTTACTGTCTCCTTTTACCTCCTCTACTGTCTCCTTTAGTTTGTTTAAGTGTCTCCTTTTGTCTTTCGTGCTGTCTCCTTTTGTCTTTGTTGCTGTCTCCTCTTCATTGAAGATCTCTCAACTGGTACAGAAGAACTTTACCCGCTGCGTTGCCCACCGCAAAGAGGCCCCGACGTGCGCTGCAGCAAAAACCCTAAACCCTAAACCCTAAACCCTAAACCCTAAAGAGGGTCAACGTGGCTGACAGCGGGTAGTTTAGAGACTGCTAAGAGAGACAATTAAAGAGAGAAGGAGACAAAACAATCAGAGACAGAGACAGAGACAGAGACAATCAAAAGGAGACAGAGACAGAGAAAGAGAGACAGAGAAAGAGAGACAAAGAAAGAGATACAGACAAAGAGAGACAGACAAAGAGAGACAGACAAAGAGAGACAGACAAAGAGAGACAGACAAAGAGAGACAGACAGGAGACAGAGAAGAGAGACAGACAAAGAGAGACAGACAAAGAGAGACAGACAAAGAGAGACAGACAAAGA